CAAGCTTAAATGTAACTCTGAGACATTGGAAAAGGTTCCAATGTAAGGCAGAGCGAATAAGAAGAATCAACTTAGGCAGAAGATAAAAGTTTCTCAAATCTGAAAAGATGGGAGAGTACTTTAGTATCAGTTTTGTGATCATCTTAATGATTAAGAAACCATAGAAATTATTTCTCTAAGGAATCTTAGTGCATTCTTATGACTAAGAAGAGGAATCTTGAATTGTTGAAATGGTTAAATCAAGAAGATGAGTCATACTTCGTTCCAATACAAGTCTTAGAGTCATACTCCAAGATTGTAATTTGAGTGACATGTCTTAAAGAAGGTTTAAAACACTTGTCAAATGTAAGAGTAAAAGTTTCCTACTCTTGTACATTTGAAATTGGTAAGTTGTGATGTTTTGGATAAAACAAAGACCAACTAAGGCCAATTGTGTGAAGTGTTTGTCTTGATTAGAATCCGCACTATCTCTTGGATGTTTGACAAGGGAGTCTTATAGGTCAAGAGGACAGTGGGAGTCTTAAAGGTCTTGAAAGTCTCAAGAACTAATCAAGAATAAAACCTGAAGTTCTTCACTAGCACACGACTTGAGGTTTATAACCTATCATGTTGACATATTCTGTGCCCATTCCAGTTAAAGTTGGCTTTGCATATGAGTTCTTAGAGTTCTCAATTGGTTGCGCAACAACTTGGAAGCAATGGCAGGCCCTTGAGCTGCCAGGTGGCAAGAAATCAAGATTGAGTTCAGTCCATATGAGTTTGGATTTGTCATTATCCTTGTCTTGTGACTATGGTTTTGACAATTCACATGGATAAGAACACATACACCAGTAAATCTAAGTGTCATAAGGTTTCTCTCCGATTCATGAAAATGATGGTGAGGAAACTCTTTCACTAAGTAGATTTTAGCTAGATAGCAATTGTAATATTTGCATTCTCAAAGTCGTTAGTGGAGCGTGTGTGGTTTACCGGCACACTAACCTGGACTTGTGAGAAGTGGCAAAGGTCTAAACAATCGAGACTATGATTACGGCATCCCTTTTCATAGTTCTTAAATTGTTAGACACACAAGTGTGCTATCTAAGGCAAGGTGTATGATTTTGATAAAGTTTTATCAAAGCAATCTAGTATCAGAAATCTGAACTTTGGTAAGAAAGTCAATAAAGTATTGATTTCTAGAAGTCCAGAATTTCTGAGTACATGTCAAAGCTAGTGGGAGCATAAGTGTTATGCTAATAATCATCATGTTAGTGGGAGCATGATAATTATGATAAGTATTGCAAGTTAGCAATGTTAATTATAGAAAACAAAGTTTCAATTGGGAAAGAGTTGTTTTGCTATAATTAAGGGAGAGGAAATTATACTTCATCTCAAATCTAAAAGCTTAGATTGAGGTTTTAATCGTATTTAGTCAAGGATATATATATATATGAATTTCATGTTGGAATGGCTCAACATAAGGAAATTCGGTATATGGGTCCATTATTTGCGTTCTAAAATTCGATTATGATTACGGCATCCCTTTTCATAATCTGAATTATGAGAACTTGGCAAATTGAAATGGAAATAGTATAGCAAAAGACTGGTGTAGTCTTTATGTGAGACATCATGAATCGTGTCCCATATGCTTCAGATATAGGATCGATTACATGTGCTATATTCATCCGTTCTAAAATTTTCCAAATGCCTGGGGCATTAAGAAGGGAAAAGGTCTAGAATTGGATATGACTAAAAGGATTAAACAATTGTCGAGGACGATCTAAGGTTTACCAAAGATTGGGTGCTCAAGGACAGTTGGAAGTATAGTGATAATTCTGGAAGGACCATATTGACATAATCTGTAAGGAGGTAGCTCTTGTTCAGAAGTGACAGTCAAAATGGAATCTGGAAATGTTTCAAAGTTAGAAATTATTCAATCTGTGTGAGATTAGGAAACTTAATGCAAGAAGGATGTTTCCAAGGAGCTGATCTCCTTTGGAATACTCTGTAATGATTGATGCCACGTCTTTGTGAATGTGTGCATAATCATTACAAGAAGATCAATGCATATAAGTTTAGAATCTTACAGATTTCAGTAAATGGCATGAATTTAGAATTCTTGCATTTGCAGTAAGGATTTGGGACTGTGAAAAGAGGATCATTAGAGTTATGTTCAATTGATCTAGTAAAGATCATAGACAAACATAGTATGCATACTTGGTGTATGGCATGACTAGTGTTTAGAAAACATAGTGTACATGCTTGGAGCATGGGACAACTATTGTTTTAAATTCAAGAATAAAGTTGATAGCTGAAACAGTATACAATGAATAATGTGTAATCATATGGTGATAAATAAAAGGTGTTTTATTTATGTTCATAGGTTTTGATACCATATTGGATTCAATTATTATTGTGTTTCATTTTGCATGTTTTGACTTCCAGAATAAACTAGGTTATTCTTCCGGAATGACTAAGTTATTCAAACCATCCACAGTCGGTCATATGTTGGAAGTAGATATGAATCAAGACTGTCATGGGTTGGCTTGTAGAGGTCTAAGATGTTGGACAAAGGGCTACAACACTCATGAGTGCTCATAAGTTCTGAGTATTGGATTCAACCCGCGCTCATTGGAATCACTTCATGGATTTTATCACGAGTGATCATGAGACGATAATATCTTATATTCTTCAAACCTAGAGATATGAGTTGTTACTATGAGTTGGTTGTACATTGATTGCACGAAAACGCATTCGGTAACTCGGTGTTATAAAACGTGCCTTTGTGTATGATTCAACAAGTAGTAGAACAAGCCATATGAGTCGAAGTTTATCCATTCCTTTTACCTTCGGGATAAAAGCGATATCTGTGGGCCCCTCGATGATTTAATGATGACACATGTGAGTGCTTGGCCAAGCCAGGACTGATTTGATTTGTTCAATTAGTCAGTCGTCATGAATCGGAAATCGGGAAACAACAAATGGACAGAGAGAATGATATAATCCATGTCTCAGTCCATATGATATCTAGAATGGAGGAATATATGATCCCTTATCTAATGGACAAGTTCGTTGACAAGATCAGAGTTCGACAGCGGCTTTATTAGCTACGATTTCCAGTTAGGTTTTGAAGTCATACTCAATAATAGTTTTAGACTTATCCAAGTGGGAGACTGTTGGATTAATGTCTAAGTCCATAACTATATTTGGTATGTACTTGACCCGACCCGACATGGTCCATTTGGGTTGCACTTCACCAACACAATTTATATGGATAGTCTTTTGAGAATAGTATATTTATGATTAATATTAATATATTATAAGTTCTAATATATTAATATGGAATCATATTATTTAATTAGTATTGATCAAGAATTAATTTAGAATTAATTAAGTGATAAAAAAATAAACTAATTAAATTTGGACTCTTATATATATAGAATGGGCCAAGTTCATTTAGGTTGGGCTAAGCTTTCATGGATAGTCCATGGAGTGTTTAACCCATGGATCATATGAAATGAAAGGTCATGGGTTTAACCCTAGTCTCCATACTATATAAAGATGTCATTGGTTGGTAAAATTGGCACTAGTGTGGTACACTAAGAAGGGCTAGCCGATTTCACTAGAGAGAACCAAGTATCCATATTCTATAAAGTCTTCCAAGGTGTTTTGGTGATTTGTGATTCCACTTGAGGCTTCCACACTATTGGGGATAAGCTCTTAAAGCTTGAAGACATCAATCTACATCAAAGGGTATGTCATCTAACTAGTACTTTGTAGTATAAGAACTTCATAATATGCTAGTTAGGATTAAAGCCTTGGAAATATCTTATTTGCATGTATAATAGAGAAAACATAGATCCAAGGTTTATACGGTTGCAAGTTCACCATAGGAGTGTTAGAATGCTCAAAACCCAACAGTTATATCTAATGCACTTATAATATTGTTGTTTTTATGTTATTGTATTTGATCGAATTTTTTTGATGCACCTACTGCTACACATTCATGTGTCCGCCCTTTGAGGCCTAATTCACAAGCCAATATAATACATATAGTAAGACACATAAACATCCCTTTGTAGTTTGCTCAAATGTTTCGGATTAACATTAAAACTAGACCAAAAATCTAGGAATAAAGAGATTATATAAGCATTTTCATGAGGATACTAGCATAGTAAGACATGGATGAAATATGCAAGATGGAAACTCGGCATAAGGCGACATGATCACGAACATAATGTATGTCAACTATCCACATGTTTGGTTCATTGATGTTTAAATGGATTGGATGACATATGTATGACACTAACACTATTATAGTACACACTGATCGCTTTAGTGGGTGAAACATGAATTTTTTGGAGGAGATTGAGTGTTTAGTTCGTCGATGTTGAAATGGATTACAAGATATGTGTACAACACTAACACTTTTATAATAGCCAATGGTCGTTTTGGTAGGTGAAACACAAAGTTCTCGGAGGGGATTGTGTAGCTAAGATGTTTTAGTTACTGCATTAGCTACACTTGATATTTGGCTTTAGAACTAGATTTGAAGATCAAGCCCTCGCGCTTTGATAGCAATGTAAGGAGGGTTTAACCTAGGAAAATACACAATATTTGAAGGTAGATCCACTACTAGAAAGCAACCCTTTAATGAAAGCGCGTTCTCAAATTTTTTAATTGCCAAGGGGAATGAAATCCCAAAAAATTAAAAACCCCGCCTGATACTTTCCTCCTTCTTCTTCATATGTTGTAAAATCCTCTTCGATCAAAAGAAACCCTAAAACCTTTTTGTAGCTTCATGATATGCGATTTTTAGTTTTAAAGTTCCTAAAATCATATTTTTGACTTCCAGATATGCGATTTTTCTGAATTGATATTTGGTGTGTATAAGATCGATAATTTCATATTTTTGAAGTTCTTAAAATCCTCTTCAATCAAAAGAAACCCTAAAACCCCACCTGATACCCACCTCCACTACCTCCAATCTGCACCGACTCTTCAGGCCTCGCACGACGACGATGTATCGGCCTTATCGACCAACACTTCATCCACTATCACCGTTTGTAGCTCTCTTACCCCATCCTCAAGGAAACCAAAATCAATTATCATTCTCAATGCCTCATCTTTACAACCTTATCGCATCTCCGCCACCACCATCTGCAACCATTCACCAGTCACCATTTAATTCCTCATCAATCTAGTAATTCAACTTCCTATGTACACCGATTTACACAATTTTGGAAGTTTCAATAGAATAGCTTCTCCACTTCATGTCTGGACGACCATAGGAATTCATGGGAGCTGTGGAAACAAAAGAAAATTCAAAAGCATCCCGGACGATTCTACCCCTTGGAAATTGTATTTTCAATCTTCTCCCTGTTTACTTTCGTTGTAGTCTGTTGATTTAAAAGCTTCTCATAGTTCTCTAATGCTTGATCTTGAATGATTATGGGGTGAATAAAGATTCACATCAGAAGAATAAAATTAAAGATGCTAAAAGCCAACTTGATCATGTGTCAGAAGAGTTGATGAAGATGTTTTTTTAACGTGGAAACATAATATGTGCATCTTAGCAAAAGTAATTTCTAGAAAGGTAAGGAAAACTGCTAATGAATTTTAGTATGATGTGATTATAATCTATGCATCTTTTTTGTATTAGTTTTACAAGAAAAATATGTTTGTTTTTTGTTGAAGGTTTTGAAGTACTAATAGAGCTTCAACATCTATTGAAAGAGGCAACTGATAGGCCTCTAAAAGAAAGCTTGATTGTTGATGCCAACAACCAATTTTTTACAATCATTCCTTCTGTTCATCCACATGTAATCAAGGATGAGGATGACTTCAAATTAAAGGTACCAGTGACTATTTGTTTATATTTTTAAGATTTCATTGATTTGTTAGCATCAATATGATGACATTCGTTCTTATTATATTTGTAGGTCAAAATGTTGGAAGCACTTCAGGATATTAAAATATCTTCAAGGCTAGTAGGGTTTCATGTGGACAATGATGGGTCACTTGTTGATAAATATAAAAAGCTTCAATGTGAAATGATCCTACTTCCTCATGATAGTGAAGATTATTAGTTAGTTGAGAAGTATCTCCAAACTACACACACCCGTACACATACGGTGTGGCTTTTTTGACTTGAAGTTTCTTGGGCTTTTTGGTCTTTTGACATTATGTTGAAAGGTTGGCCTTGTTTGTACTTTTTAAATTGTAGGATTGGGCACTTGAACTGGAAGATGTTTTCACAATTGAAAGACAAGGAGAATTTGATAAGTTTGTTCCATATAAAAATAAACTCAAGATCAAGATGCTCCTTTGGCATGATATAATAGCTTCAAACCTTTTCTTTTAAGTTTCATCTATCATGCAAGATGAGAAGGGAAATAATGTATTTTGCATGGATGTTAATGAAATCTATTGTTCTTAATAGGTTCTCATTTAACAAACTATTTTGGTATTTTAAGCCAAGGATTATGAGTAGCTCCCCTGAAGCTCCTACAACCGGCTACATGGTCCCTCTCTCTCTCTCTCTCTCTCTCTATATATATATATATATATATATATATTGGTGAAGAAAGTAATCCTTTTCTATGATTGTAGTTTGAAAAAGGGATTTATTTTGCTGATTTGGTGAGCAAAAGTGCTCAATATTGTTTTACTGACAAGAAAAATCCGGTGGGCTTAATGCTATTAAGTGAAGTTGCTTTGGGAGAGATGTATGAGCTTAAGAAGTCCAAGGTTAGTTATACATATATTTGTAATAATTATTGTGCTTTAGTATGTTGAAAGTAATTAACTTATTTATTTGTCCTTATATATTTATAGTATATGGACAAACCTCCAAAAAGGAAGGACTCGGGTAAAGGACTTCGGAAGAAGATCCCTAATGAGTCTAAACACATTAAGTGGAAGGATGATGTTGTTGTGCCATGTGGAAAGTCGGTATCATCAAATGTTAAGGCATACGGGTTGATGTATAATGGGTACATCGTCTACAACACCGATCAAGTAAGTTTATCTTACATATATAAGACATAACACCTTTTTTATTTATGAAATGGAGTGTCAAATTGTGCCCAATTCACAAGTTGCTTTGTGGTAAGTGGAGTACTGGATAATCTGAATGTTGAGATAAAGAAATCATGGTAGTACTTTGTTTCACATCACATAGCTTTGTCATTAAAATTACAATTATGCCCTGATGTGTAGTTTTTGTCATCAAAAGGTTATGAGAAGAAAAAGGGTAGTTTTTTCAATTTTATTCTTGAATCTGTGTTTCCACTGAAGAAACTGGTTGACTGCAATTCAAAATTAAAGAAACTTTGTTTTGATTTGTATAAAATTGAAGCCACTGAAGAGTCAAAAAGCATGGTGACTGTAAAAGTCAAAGGGCGAAGTGCATTCCATGAAGCATCTAGTTCGCAAGATTCTAGGCATATTTTGGAGCATGGAAAAAGCATTTATAACACAACTTTGAGCTTATCTGACCAATCAACTGGCATCAACATGTGATTCTTACAAAAAAAAGTGTATTATTTATGTATAAATCATCCATTTTACTCATGTTCTTATACGTGTTTTCTTCATGAATTTATTATATCCTCCAGATCATTGAAGAAGATAAAGGTTCAGGCTGCTATGTGTTCTGGAAGTGGGGTCGAGTTAGCAATGAAAAAATTGGAGGAAATAAGTTGGAAGAATTGAGTAAGTCAGATGCAATTCAAGAATTTAAACGGTTGTTTCTTGAAAAGATTGTGAATTCATGGGAGGCACAGGAACAAAAGAAACTTCAAAAGCAACCTGGAAAATTCTACCCCTTGGAAATTGTATTTCTACTTCCTGATGGACAACACTTAGCAATTGGTTCAGGTGACACAACTGTCCGACTCTAGGACTTGAATACCCAAATGCCTATGTTCACCAGTATAGGTTAGAAACCAGCATAACAAGTTTACTTTCTTTATAGAGATAGAAAGAACATTTACAAACTCAAGTTCCATGTAGTGAATATGATGGTTGTTACCATAACTTCATAATCAAAAAAGCCAAGACAATTATTATATTTTTACATATCTATTCAGGGCACAAGAATTGGGTTCTTTGTGTTGGATGGTCACCAGATGGAAAACATATAGTAAGTGGAAGCAAGTATGGAGAAATCCAAATTTAGGACCCACAAATAGGAAAAGCTTCTGGAAGTCTGCTTACTGTAATTATATGCTCTCTTTATACATTTGTCAATCTTGTTATTTGATTACTTGATATGCTCTCATCTCACCTTATAGGGTCATGGACATTGGGTGAATTCATTGGCATTAAGTTGAGTATTTTCATGGATCAGAGCTTTTGATCATGCACGTAAACACTATTCATCTCTAGAAGAGATGAAAGAGGTAAATTGATGTTTTTTTTGTGTGTATGTTTTAGTACTCATTTATTGGTATGAGAATTGAGTATATATATATATATATATATATATATATATATATATATATATATATATATATACCAGACAGCTTTAGAGAGATACAATAAGATGAAGGGTGAAAGTCTTGAGAGGTTAGTTTCAAGTAGTGATGATTTCACTATGTTCCTCTGGGAACCTTCTAAAGATAAGTGTCCCAAAACTCGAATGGCAGGTCATTAACAAGTAGTAGTTTAATGTTTCTTCATTTTGTTGCTCAAAATTGCAACATACTTTACTCTATTATCAATATGGGCAATGTATTTTTTTTACTGATAACCACAATATGTAACTTCTTATAGCAATGTGTAACTTATAAAAGCCAAAACTCACCGTTTTTTTTTTCAATGCTCTAAGAAGATACTTGAATGTGTCCATAGAGTTGATGTTCCTTATGTGAAGGGTGAAGTTGCAAGGCAGAACACTTCCACGGAGACTACCAAAGGAGAACTTACTCACGAGTTCCTTTTAATGTTGTATTTTGTTTTTTTTTATAATAGATAGTATTGGAATGATTATTTGTATTTGACATATGATATTTTTTTAAATGGATTATCGTTCATATGTATGGTATTTTATTTTGTATTATAACAATTTCAGTCTGTTGTTTAATTTGAAAATTAGTAATTCTATCATATATATATATATATATATATATATATATATATATATATATATATATATATATATATATATATATATATATATATATATATATATATATATATATAACATTTTAAACTACGACACGCAAATGTGTGTCATCTTCATTTATGACAATGGCTTTAATGATATGCATTGTGTGTCCTAAACGCGCGTCGTAAGGTTACGACACACAAATGCGTGTCATATTCCTTTATGACAGGGCCTTCCTTGATACACATTATGTGTCATAAATGAGGGTCGTAAATGCGTGTCGTAACTGCGCGTCGTAAATGATTGTTGTAAATACATGACGTGAAAAAGCGTGTCGTCTTTCGTTATCATAGGGCCTTCCGTGACACACATTTGTGTGTCGTCTGAGCATTTTACGATACGCATTGCGTGTGTCTATATATATATATATATATATATATATATATATATATATATATATATATATGTGTGTGTGTGTGTGTGTGTGTGTATGTGTGTGTGTGTAACATCCCAAACTTCAAAAATATGATTTAAGGACTTAAAGTTTAAATTGAGGAAGCTACTCGACGAGTAGGTTCGATGACACGTCGAGTCGGAGCGGGTTCTGGTCATGAGTTAAGTGACCAACTCGCCGAGTCGGCGGCTGGACTCCACAAGTTGCCGTTGGGAAGATAAAAACCCTAATATTAAGGTTTGCACCCTATTTAAAGGACCTTAAGTCCTCACCTCAGCCTCCTTGTTACCCCTTGAGAGTCAGAAAACCCTAAAATCGTGTGTGAGCCTTGGAGTGTGCTTGGAAGCTTTGGAAGGAAATTCTAGCAAAGGAGGCTTATAGATCAAGTGTATAGCATCAAGGGACTCATATAGATCTAGAATATACTTCAGTTTGGGCACACATTTGAGGTAACAAGTTTTTACCTTGATCCCTTCCTTTCTAGATCAACTTATGGATGGATTTAGGGCCATTATAGTCTGTTTAAGATCCATTTCGGATTATGGGTTTAGATCTGAGGTTGCAACTTCGGAACTAGACTTGCCTTGGTCCAGAAAATCATAAAGCATCAACCTTTGGTTTGGTTGTGAAGCATTCTTGCCTTAAAACCCTATCCCTAGCTTGTTTTGGGCCAATGGCACCTTGTAGTCACGTAAAGTTGGCAGCTTTACGTGAGAGTCATGCCCTAGGAGTATGGATCTACAGTTTGTAGCCTCTGAATGGCTCAAAAAGTGATTGTATGGATGAAGGACTGAAGAGACTCAGCGAGTCTCATGAGTGACTCAGCGAGTCATATGATGATGGGAATGGACTCGACGAGTTGGATGAACAACTCGGCGAGTCTGAAGAAGATTTCCGTGGACTCAACGAGTCTGTTCTTGGACTCGGCGAGTTATAGCGCAGACCCCTAACCTCTTCTGTTAAGACTCGAATCAGTGAGTTGTGTGGTGACTCAGTGAATTGGACTGGATAGGACTCGGAGATTGATGGACACGACGACTCATGGGGTGACTTGACAAGTCGATTTGTGATATGAGAGTCTTTTGTGTTTAAGGACTCGGCGAGTCCGTACGTTGACAAGGAGAGTAGGGGTAATCACGAAGGTTGACTTTGGCTAGAACTTTGACTCTGACCCATTTGACCTTCAAGGGCATTATGGTAAAGTGAATATTTATGTCAATGGACCATTGATGGCTATAGGTGTTGGAGTCGGGAGCAGTGCTTTGGGATTTTTCTTTTGTGGTTCGGTACGACAGTTGCAAGGTGAGTTATCCTTGTTATACCCTAGGCTCTAAGGCACCAAGACCGGCGCTTTGATTGTTATTTGAGATAGTTACGGATATGATATGTTAGTTGGTATTTTGCTAGAAAGGATGATTGTGTGTTAGTATTGATTGATTAGATCGGAATCCTGGTTGGTTGGATGTGGCTATGCTTAGTGACCTATGGTTGGTCTGACTGTCTAAATGATGGTAGTAGATTACCTGTTATATATGCACATGTTTGACCAATAGTAGAGGGTATTTCATCGCGGTAGGATGAGAAGGCCCTAGTATGTTGTTTCTGTAGACTGTTATGTGATTATCTGAAAGGTGCACGTATTTGTAAGTGTGTGGGCATAGCAACCCGATGGTTATGGGCCAGGAGTATTCCATCCCGGTAGGATGATTGGACTCGTAGTAGGTAGGGCATTTCAACCAGATGGTTGCGGGTCAGGAGTATTCCATCCCTGTAGGATGATTGGACTCATACTAGGTTGGCATTCTAACCTGATGGTTAATGGACTGGGGTATTCCATCCTGAGGGATGATTGGACCCATAGTAGTTGTTGTTGTATGTGTATGTGTCCGGGCATTCCAACCCGATGGTTGTGGGCCGAGAGTATTCCATATTGATAGGATGATTAGACTCGTAGTATGTTGGCATTCCAACCTGAAGGTTTAGGGCCAGGGGTATTCCAACCGGATGGTTGATTGGGCCCATAGTATGTCGTTCATTTCTTTACGTGTATGGGTATTTTGGGGGAACTCACGAAGCTTTCGGGCTTACAGTTTTAGTTTATTGTTTCAGGTACATCCGGAGATCGTGACAAGGCAAAGTCGTGATGGTACCCCTCCTCATATTTCATGATTTTGTGACTAGGTTCTTGGGATACTCTAATGTTTAAACTATTTTGAAAACAAGTTGTAATAACTTAATGGTTTTTGAGTGAATTAAAATGGTTTAAATTTGCGTAAATTTTATGAGTGTTACAATATATATATATATATATATATATATATATATATATATATATATTATATATATATATATATTAAATGACACGAATCGTCCCTTGTATACGTACCAAAAGACATGTTTATCATTACTTTTTAAAATTAACTCGGACCGTCCCTCGTTTGTAGTAAACTGGAATGTTTCATCTCTTGTTAGTTTAAACTTGCGTATTTCTTCCTTCAACAAACTTGAAATGATTATATGTAGCTTACTTATTACTACTTTTTATTTAGTTATTACTTATTACTTATTTTTCTATTATTTGTAATTTGTAAAATAAAAGTGGCCCTACTACCTTCCCCACCCACCCTATTTTCATGTCACCCATTTAAACGTAAATCTGGTAGAACTGATTTATTTTTCTCCACCTCTTTTCTAAACTTCGCCTTGCCAGAAACATGTAAAAGCCACCACTAACCGCCAACCATCCACCACAATACCACCATAAATTGCATCTACAAGTTACAAATTTCAACATGTAATTTTTTATTTAAAGACATACACCTCCTTCTACCTCTATTTCTTAATTTTTTTAACATCCGATTACCTATATCATGTCATCTCGTATGTGTGTTGGCGCAACAATGGGAGAGAGAGAGAGAGAGAGAGAGAGGGTAATGAAATAATTGGGTTGAGTGAATCGGAGGAGCATTCGTGTGAATCCAGTATCATATCAAGGAAATATTTTCAAATTGTTTTCAAATAAGTAAAGGAGGATGCAGAGGCTACGATCAGCCGGAGCCAGTAAGTAGACCCCAAAATACCATACAAGTTATTTGATTATGTGATATGATTAGAACAGTATGCTAGTACTAGGCTAGAGATCTTCAGGAATTGCATGATAGAATTTCCTGATTATATGATGCCTGCTAGCCTAGGGTTTCCTTTGTATGAAATTGACATCATTACTGTAGATATTTAATGTATGCTTCGTGGTTGTGCATAATTAAGATATTATAGCCCGAGAATGTTCAATTTAACCTTAGGGTAGGATTGGATATTTGAAATTCTATAGGGTCCAA